GACTTGCAGAAATTTAACATTGGTTGCCTATTGCAGCGTGTATAATTGTCAAGAAAAAGCTGGTTGTAGCGCCTCATTTCACAAATTAGAATTTCTACATATTTTTATTTTGGAAACTCAAATCGATTAAAACAATTTAGCATATTTATCAAGCATAATTAACGTTCCAAATAATTATAAAGCTATTGCATGCTTTCAGGACTGGATTTTTTTTTCCTATGCTGTAAGGAAATTTGTACTACTACTTCTTTTAGAAAATAATATTTTAAATCTGAACTAACAGAAAATTTCAAATAATCAATTTTCTCTTGCAATTTTTATGCTTTTTATTAGTGTAAATAAGTAAAAAATACTAAAATATTTAAAAACGAATTTTCGAAAGTTGTGTTTAAAATTCTAAATTGTGCTGCTTTTTTAAAATTATAGATGAGTATTATAGCACAATTTCTATTAAGGAATTTTATTTCTATTATATTTCATAATACATCATAGTGATAAACACGTTTTGACTCCTTAAAAATGTTTATTACATTTAATTCTAATATTAAAATTGTATTTAAAAACCGTAATAATTAATTTTGCTTGTATTTTATAGTGATTTTAAATTTATTTTTAGTTCTTGCATAAGATTTTTTTTTTTTTTTTATTTTACTGTTTAATTTAATTTATTAGCTAAAGGGGCAGTAGCCTAAAAGGCTGTTAGTTTCGAAGCGGCAATTTTTGCGCTGTTTTACTATAAATGTCCGTGTCTCTTGCAAATTGTTGTTACCAAATATTATCGCCCTGTATTATATGTAAAGAAATTAAATAATGAAGAATCTGCATGAATACATGTATGGTTCTCGCAATCTGACAAAAACGACAGTATCTAGAGCCATCAAATTTTGAATAATGTAATCCTCCACCCGAACATGGGCATCTGGACAGCTGAATTTCGAATTTGTTTTCATCTATTTCCTATTTTGTAAAACTTTAATGAGCTTTTGATTAACAAACTCAACGAGTTCAGAGAGAGCACTGTACGGAAAATTACAGTTTTACCTCCAGTGCAGAAATTCTAAAGATATGCTGTTTTCAAATGTATGTGGTTTACGGGCAAAGAACATGATATTTAATAAATATAGGTAACACACAAAACGTTAAAAAAAGGTTTCTTTTGGGCGTAATATAAATCTTAATGCTTCTAGATTTTATTTTATTTTTTACCATTTTTTTTTTTTTTTTTTTTTTTTCCGCTTCATTACACTCAGAAAATTTTATAACTCCAAATTTTATAAAATTATAAATAATATTCCACTTTAATGTTAATAATTAATGATGATATAATCAAATAAATGATTGTTTTGTAATGTTATTATAGTTTTGAAAATTCATTGCCTGAAAATGGTTCATTAAATTTTTTAAAAAAAAAGTTATCAGATCTTGTTTAATTTTACTTATTTATTTTTCAAAAGCATCCTGTACTATCAATCTTTTTAATTTTACGTTATTTGTGCGCAAAATTAAGTTCATAAATTTTGTGCCTAGAGTTTTTAAAAATTTATTAACCGTTTTACCAAAGTAAAGATGTTTGTACAAGAATTACGCGTGAAAAAATGCGCGAAATGCAGTAAAAAAAGTGCTTTAATGAGATATATTAAATCCTATTTGGAAAAAACTGTGGCTTCATAATCTCATCACTATACAACGTATCACATTTAATAATTAAAAAGAGTTTAGTGATAAAAACGCCATAGGTTTCAGTGTTAAAGTAAACCAGATTGTCCTACTCTTTCTTGCCACATGTTCGTTGACGCGCGCCCCCCCCCGCCACTGGGTTAGACTATCTGTTATAGGTCCATGTTCTGGATACGTATGCTGTCACTCACAAAGCAAAATTCTCATCTGATTTGCAAGGTTTTTTTTAGATATAATCTAGAGAAAATTCAGGGCTTTCAGACGTCCAAATCACTTTTTTTTTTTTTTTTTTTTTTTTGTTTTTTTTTTTTTTTTTTTTTTTTTTTATATAACGAAGTATTAAAGCCAAGTTTCCATAAAATCGTGAGAAATATTAAGAATAAGAAAAAGTCAGAGAAATAATATTGTAATCGGTTTGGTGGGAGAGCGGGTTGAAAATCGGGAGTCTCCCGCCTAAATCGGGAGAGTGGCAACTCTGAATATCACTTTAAAATAAATAAAACAATGAAGTTAATTCATTACTAAAAATGAAAGGAAAATCGAAAATGTTTTATTTAACATCATTTATCAAGTATAATTTTAATATATTAACACTATTTTCATTATATTTATCAAAGTTGTTATATTTTTAAAAATAAAAAATCATTGAAAAACTCTCAAATCACTTTGCATATAAATTGATTTTAAAATCACCAAATTTAGTGCTGCATAACTAACGTATTCATTTCTAAAAAAGGGAAAAGTAGTTTTTGATGTAGTATATTATGAACTACTCATTAAAAAATATATATATATATTTATGTTTCAATTGAGGCAGGGTCTTGTGCCCAGAAACTTGAACTGTTGAACTGTTTATATTAGAAATAGAAATAACCTATCAAATACATATTTTTTAATAAATCACCAAAAACGTATTCCTCCAAAATGTTCATTTTCACACGCAGTCATAAAAAAAACAGAAATGACAGACGAGTAAATTTAATGAACCAATTTTGGCAGAAATTAAGAACTTTCAAGGACCTTGTTAACCCGTTCAGGACCAGCGTCACGTATACGTGATGCTATGATTTCATTCCTACCAGCCCAGCATCCCGTATATGCGACGCAATGATTCTGTTCCTACCAGCCCAGCACCGCGCATACACGACATTAAAACGGAACAATTTATTTGAATTTTTAAAAGCCAGTAAATGGGAGCTAAGCGGTAATTGTTTTCACATGGGTTGATTCATACGGCATTTGACCTTCATGTACTGGCATTAGTTTCCGTTTTGTGCTTCTGGTTTTGAGAGATTTATTGAAATAAACAAACCGGAAATCACGGTTTTTTATAAGTGCGCCTGTGAATTAAAGGGTAACAGGCATTTTTGTTTATTTCGTTAGGATTTTCTTCTCTATTTATTTTGAAACTTAACATAAGCTTTCTTGGTTAATTAAAAAGTAACATTACAACATTATTACAAAAGGGGAAAGTCAGCTTTCTCGACGTGTAATGCATCTTGCTTGTATTTCTCAGGAAAGAGCCAGTCTTTTTGTTCTTCTTACTCGAGTTTAATAGGTCATTATATATAATGACACAGGCATTTTATTTTGGTATATAATGTATTTGCTTTACATATAATGTATAAATATACTGACGTGATCAGCAACGGATATCCCGCCAGTCTGAGGTCTTTCCTTGATCACTTTCCGGTCATCTTGGACACTGTTTTCGATTTATAAAAACGGGCTGTTTTCTAATATAAACCTAATGTCACACAGGATTTGAGGATGGAATATTTCTGAGTGTCTATTGAAGAAGTTTTGGGACATGTGTTGGGGTTCTATTCAGTTTCATACGTAAAAACTTAAAAATTTGTTCAAAATCAACAGACGTTCCACCTTTCCATCTAATTCAAAGACAGTTTCCAAAAAATTACATTGACAGAAAAGGTGATAAAGGTAGGAGAAGATGCGTTGTGTGCGCTAAAACCAAGGAAAAGCGAAAACAAACAACGTATTTTGAGTGCGAAATATGCAAGGTAGGACTGTGTGTCAATCTTTGTTTTGAATTATTTCACACACAGCAGAATTTTTAAATTGGAATTTAGTTAGCTACATGTAATTCCTGTTTAGTTTTTTTTAAATTTAGTATTTGTAATTTTTTTCATTTTAGTATTTATTCATGTGTATATTTTTATATGTGTATAGTTAGATTTAGTAATTTTGCCTGTTGATTCTATTCTATTATGTGATATTTTATATTATCACATTAACCAATGGCATTAAATACCAACTTCAAAATTGAAGTCATAATATCAAAAGATGATTTTATAAGTTTTTTTTGTTTTTTTTTTTTTTTGTTTTTTTTTTGTAAACTTAGGCTTAACTGCGAAAAGCGCGGGCCAGGAGGTGGTGACGATCCGTTTCAGCAGGTGCGGTCCCACCGGCTTACTTCTCTTTCATCTCGTTCTTTCCGGCGCTGTCTTAGGGGTTGAATTAGTTAAAAAAATTATTCATTCTGTAATAAATATTGAAGGAGCCTTATGTTTAGAGCTTTCCTTTATAATCTCTTTACAAATATTTTTTATTTCTAAGTTTTATAAGAGTTTAACTTTAATGGGTGATCTACGGAGTTTTCTGATATGTTCTTCCAATAAAAGTTGGATTTTAGTTCAACTATTGTTTAACTCTTTTCTGCAGACAATCAATAACATTTTCTTTTGACAGGCAGGAAAAAAATAAAATATACCATTTCTTGTTTATTTATTTAGTTTTAGCTTTTTAAGGACACTGAACACTTTAAAAAAGGTTTTACTTGTTCATTTACCAAATTATACTTTAAAATCAATTTGAATATATTAATTTCATTTAGAATCGCTTACCACAGATATAACAAAAGCATATACATAATGCCAACATTTTACAGATATCAAAATAATAGTGCTTTTTTAGAAATGTCTAAATTTTCAATAAATAAAATAAAATGATTCTTAAGTGTTGCACAAAAAAAAAACATATACACCAGATTGACTAAATGCATCATTCATCATTCTGAATCTGTCCGTATGGAAACTACATCTATCTACACAGGTAAGTTATATTAAAATCGATTTATTGAGACTGGTAAATGGAACCCCATTTGTCTACATCAAATTATATATTAATTTTTATGCTTACATCACATCACAAAATATATTTATAGTATACCGAAATGATAAAAATGTTCACAAAATAGAAATAACTAAAAAAAAAAAATTTTTTTTTAATTAAGAAAAAAATTCTCTCTTGGTGTTTTTTGATTCTGCTTAAAGTATTAACCATGCTATGTAATGTAAAAATACCTCTTTACTAGGGATTAATTCACTCTGGTGGCTAATAACAGCTGAAATTTGACTGCCATGGGGTCGAGAATGAAAATATTCCTCAGATTCTTTTTCACTTAATTTTGTAACTGAACCCTCAATTCGTATCTAGGATGATAAATAAATTAATAATCAGTAAAATAATCTAGAAAATATAACTATCAATTTTCATAAAAAATTTTTAATTTTTTACAAAAATGCCCTGTAATTTACATGAAGGTACAAATATACAGATCTTAAAAGAAAAGAAAAGTTTTAAATACCTGGCGACATAATGGTTCCCAGTACAATAACAAAGCTACTCTTGGATTCTCAGCCTAATTTTAAAGAAAAGGAATTTATACTGACAGTTTGAGACATTAAAACACGAGAATCTAAGCATAGGCAACGCATCAAAACGTCTTCAGGCTTCAATCGCGTAGATAAAAAAATTAATATTCAATCTAAAGGCTCACATTTCATATTACACCCAAAGGGGGGGGGGTTTATTAACATTTTACCTTTATTTATTAAATATATGTTCTTTGTATTTAAACCATAAAACTCAATTCAACAGCAATATCACAAAAAAGGAAACTTCATGCATAATATATCCATGATTGAAGATGCATGCAATGTTAATTTTAATGGAACGCTATATTATGCATTTTGAAATATTTGGATATAAAATGAGCTTCCAAATCGCTGAGTTTGTTAATCAAAAATCTGTTAAAGTTTTACAACTTATGAATTAAACAAATTCCAAGTTTGGGCTTTCAGATGTCCATATTTGAGTGGAGGACTATATTGTTCAAAATTTGATGTTTCTAGGTACCACTGTTTTTCACAATGCCAGAAACTACATACATTCATGCAAATTCTTCACCATTTAATTTCTTTAAATATAATGCAGGTTCCTACTATTTGGTGTCAAGAATTTGAAAAGTGGTTCAGACTTTTATAGTTACCAATGCAAAATGCCAAAATGAAATTTATAGCCCTTCTCAGCTAACACTCCTTTCGGCTAAAAATTACTATATATTATTAAGTATCATGCATATATTATCAGGAAGTAAATCATGATCTACTAAATTCTGTTTTGCAATGAAATAAACAAGTACTTCTATTAATTTTGAACAATCGCATCCTTTGCTATAGTAATTAACTTTGAATTGCAGTTTTTAATGCATATTTGATATTCTGATATTTAATATTTTTAATGCATATTTGATATAAACCTTTTCAGTTTTTAAAGTCTGTAAATATCAACACAGTAAGATATCGCTATTCTTGAAACTGTGGATTTTTCAGTGGGCTGTATGCTGGATATAAAATACAATATCAACCTATCTGATTATGTATTTTTAATTTAGTTGTAAATGGCTAAATTTTCTTTTTTGATTTATAGAAATGAGCAAACAAGACAAATTCCAAGCTAAAAATCAAATTTAAAATGAATCTTAATGAAGTTAAAAAATGCCCAGTATTATTCATGCATATTTCTCTCTCTATTTATGTATTCATCCCATTGTCTTTCTTCCTATACACCTCTAGTAATTCAAGAACATTAAAAATATTTAGTATTTTTCTGTTAACCAGGTATATGCCATTTATTTTTGCCATCAATGGTATAAAAGTAACTGAATGATGGCAGCAACCCTAATGATATGTAAAGCTTTGGTTGGTTGACTTTTAATGGCACAAAACCTTGAAGGCTATTATGCGCCAGACAAATGGTGAATAAAATCCAAAATGCACAAACACACTGTATCAGATGAATTGTTGAAATGAACCTGTAATACTGATGAAGGCATGGAGAAATTACTTTGAGAAATACTCTAGCAACAGTAGAGCAGTCTAAAAGTAAAAAACTTCAAATCATATAGTAAAAAGATGTCTTTTAAATATTATGAGGTTGTGTTGGGTTTCTTTCCAATGATATCTGTAAGTTAAGATTCGTAGAGTTAAAATGATATTCACGTTTTTTTACTAAAGCAAGAACAGGGTTAAAAATGCTATGAAATGGGAACATTCAAGTGCCACAAATAGGCTTATTTCCTTTCAGGAGATACTGATTCTGAGTTATAATCATTATAAGATTTAGCTGAATTAAGAGTTTTACTCTGCAAGTCATTTTGGACACGGTATTTTTGACCTAAGGAGGAATTATTTATATTTGTGTTCTGCTTAAGCTGTTTGAAAATATTTACTGTAATATAATATTAACTTTTATAATAAATTGTTAATTTCGTTCTGTTATCCTAAGTGATCATTCAGAAAAATATCATTCAACAAAACATATAGCCAATCGATTTTAACTTTGTACAGTTCAATATAGTTATTTAATTTTAACTTTGTACAGTTCCCTGGTTTCCTTAAATTGTTAATTTCTGTTACCCTAAGTGATTGTTAAGAGAGATATCACTGGACAAAATATACAGTTAATCAATTTTAACTCTATATAGTTCAATACAGTCAATCAGTTTTAACTTTGCCATTATAGTTTATCGATTTTCACTTTGTCAATATACAAAATAGTCAATTGATTTTTAACTTTGTACAGTTACCTTAAAATTGATTGGTAATAGAGAATGATAAACATGATATTTGATTTAACAGGTTAAATTTCGTAAGAAATATCAAAAGTATTACAAAGGAGGAAAAAACATTTTTGAATGAAGAACAAACGTAATATGAAATATCAAAATACGAGCAGCATTAATAACTTCCATAAACCGAAAAGCAAAGAAATAACATAAAATAGGAACCCACTATTTCTCTTCCTTTTCTACTGTTGTAATTTGTGAAAAAGCAAAACCCATCAGTACCATAGCTTTTTAGTAGACAATAACGAACAGAAGGCATTCCAGACCTTTAGATAAAGAATATACATTTAGAGAATATTTCAAACAAAATAAAAAATAATTTTGAAATACAAAAATTCATTTTCAATTATAAAATAGCAGTTTAAGCAACTTTTAAACATAATGGAAAATATTTATGAAAAATTAATAACTAAATTCAAACCAGTATTTCATAGTACAGGTACGGAAAAAAACATATTTTCTTCAATTCTGAAATCTATAGATTTTAATTTCTGTGTTATTATACATATCAAATTAATATTCATAATGTTTTTTATTTTTGTAAGTAAATATGACAGAAAATTGCATAAATTCTTTCAGATCATAGAAATTTTTTATAAACAGTCATTTTCAGCATTATATTTAGAAATTTTAATACATAGTCATGGCTCACAATTCAGGGAGAAAAGGTCTTTTGAAGTTTCAAAATGCATACTCAGTGACAATGACCAAATATGAAATACAGCCACTGAAATAAGCTAAGTATAATAAAACTTACAAAGAGGGAAAAATAATGGTTATGAATTAACTCATTCCTGAAAGCTGTTCAAAGATTGAAACTATTTTTCTCATAGGAATTAATAAACAATAGATTAATTCATACCAAGATTATAATTTATATCTAAGTCGTTAAAAATAAAACTTGAAAAGGTATTTCGTTTTAAAATCTGCCACTGCATAAGCATTTTGCCAAATGCATCTGAAATGTACTCAATGCAGATTGGTTGTTTAACTCTGACGATTTTTGGCAAGTAAGTACAGTGGTTGCTTTAAGGAAAAAATTCAGTTGAATTTTTTTTTTTTATATATAAATTTTAAAATTTTACAATTTACACAAAATCCTGAATTTTTGGAAATTAAAATAGCTTCATTTCAGTTTTTAATTATTTTATCCAAATTTAAATATTTTTTTTTTTTTTTTATAATTTCTTACATTTTATTTGTAAATAATAAATCCCAATCTTGCAAGTTTCTTAAAATTTAATTACGTTGCTATACCAATGAAACAGATAAAAATAAGAATCAGTTATTTACATAAAATATTGTGTATATTTAAAATAAAAACTGCTTTTTTCTTGGGAGAAGAATTTTCAATTTATTTGAGCAGTTGACAGATAAAAGTTTGTGCTCAACATTTCACATTGCTTTTAATTAAGCATTTTAATATCAAGAAAAATACTTTTTTTATTACCAACAGAGATTAAAAAGAGACATAATTATTCAAAAGGAAAGAAACAACAGCATCTATCATAAAAGAAATACTCGTATAAATTTCATAGATAAGAAAAAAGAAATTTCAAATTACTTATCAGCTGTCGCTACCGCCATTGCATTAGCCTCTCTTATACCATCAGTTTTATGTGCGAGGTTAAACCAACTATCAAATAATATAAACGGATTTTTGGAAGAAAAATCCTTTTTTAGGTCATCTGGTATATCATCTGAATAATAAGGCACCCTAAAGTCTGAGAAAAGAAATCAGCATCTCAGTTTTTACATGTACAAACACGGTATCAAAAACAACCTCTTCAAAAGAATCATTATATTAATGAATAGATTACATAGAAAAGCTACATTCTCATAGTTAATCACGATTTTGTTAATTATTATAGATTGCAGTAATAGAACTCAAAGCGTAAAATAATGAGATATATAATTCTGTTGTGTAATTACTGCTTATTATGTAACCACAATAGCGCACGAACTGAACATTGCAAAATATGATATTAAATGTTATTCAGTATTTACCACTGAGATCAACTCGATTTTCGGAACTTCCCTGTCCCTGTATAAGAGCCATCGCAACAGTATTCTTCCAATCCACAATCTTCCACGGTAAACCGACGGAACGAAACTGCCTGCAAAATCTAGAACTGAAATAAACAGCCATTATCGTTGCCAAACTACTTGAAACGGGATTATAAAAATATAAATTTGTGCACTTCTGTGCAGTGTAATTAAATAATTTAGATGACATATTTAAATTATGTTCGAATTTTGTGTGTAATTTTTTTCCAAAAATTATTAAAAAAAAATTCAAGAATTAATATAATTTTAAAGCTTTAATACTGAACTACAATTTTCAGATGGCCACCAACAGATGGCAGCAGCATGCAAATACTCGAAGCGTTTCTAATTTAACCAGTAGATGTCACCACTGTTATTACGAAGATCCAAGGAGCTCTATTCTAACAATGAAATGATCTCCTTGCGAAGATCGACGAACTTTAGAGAATATAGGCTTCTTTGAACCACAAAAGATAGCTTAAATTCAGACTGCGCATGAGAATGTTGTTTTAAACATTAAAATGAATTTGGAAAAATGATGTAGTCCATTGTTACTTTTCGGTTTTCATTGCATAACGAATTGTGGTCAAAAATTAGCTATGAAATACTATTAAAAATAAGATGCAAGTTAAAATTAATATATAACAGAATTTTAATATAAATACATTGCATAAATTTGTTAAGGTAACTATTGCTTGTTATGTAGTTATTATAAAATACGGGTTATTGTAATATCCAAATACAAGTAGTGTAAAACGGGGAACTGAAATGTTGAGAAATAAGTCTGAAGTTAAATTTCACATTTTTGTTTTTATTGCCCTGTTTCATCTAAACAAGATGCATCGCCATCTATGCTACAGCTTTAAAAATCGCTGTTCAAAAGTTTATAGTAAAGACTTATAGCACAACAGAGGGATTACTCTGCAGGAAATGGGAAGGTGGAGAAAAGAAACTACCTTCAGAGTTCTAATTTTAATTTTCTTACATCGCCCTGTTTAGGCTATAGCTGTTCAGAATTAAAATCAGGGACTGAGCTAGGATTTTTAGTACCCTCTTGAAAATTAAGAAATGACCTTTGAGACATTTTTAATTTTCACTTTTTTGTTTATTGCAAGAGGTTGTGAATTGTGAGGAGTTCACTGCGTTAATAATTAACTAAATATATGTGCATAGATGCAAATTTGTATAACATTTTTTAAAGATGAAGAAGGTTAAAGATAGTTAAAGTTGCTAAATAGTTAAGAGCATATGCATGACACGCTTGATCGATTCGCAGACCAGAAGATGCCAGTTAAAGCTAGTGAATTGGCTGAAAACATAGAAAATTATGACACAGGCAGTTATGAATCACTGGCGCTAATGATAAAGGTAAACAGGGTTAAATTAGGGAGCAGACAAAACAACATGAGAGATACAAAAAATTAATAGCTACAGATAAATAAAGCGGACTTGTGCAAAAAGTGCAATGTTTTACTTGGCATATTTGTTTACAACAGCCATTGGATGGTTTCTATTAGCCATATGATTATAATCATAAGTGCAAATTTTTAACGGGTTCATTAATTTTCCCTGCCTCTCGGGAAATTTTTTTGCTAGGAAGTGGTAGTGTGTCTTAAGCTGTACGATGTTCAGTTATTCATGGATACTATTACTACTAAGATACGACGGGTTATCTATTGTCTGATGCAGGACGCAGTTTTGTACCCTCTGCAGTCTTTACGATTATTTCTACATGCATACGCCTAGACTGGACACGCGTAACATAGTATGGGACGCAATTTGTATTTGCAAGTAAGTAACTTATTCTCCAAAGATAGAACGCCTTTTTCGAGCAGTTAAGGGATAGAATTTAGCTTTACGAGCTCGAAACTTCTGGATAAGAGATGTAATGTGTAGGGTCCATGTGAGAGAATTATTGAAGATCATCGCAAGATCACAACATCAGGAACTGTTGTGTGGTACACAATATCTTTAATATACCCACAAAAGAAAGAAATCTAGAGCGGTTAATGTCAGGAGAAGCGTTTACTGAGTACTCGTTGGATATTTTGAGTTTTACCAGAGACACGTGAGTGGAAGTTTATAAGTGTTTTCTCAAATATTATAAAATTTGACCATTCAATGTATTTTTCGTTATTTTTGTACAGTCATGAATTATAATGTTTTGTAATCGGGCAGACATTTATGGACATTTACTGTCTCCTTCCTGTCTAATGATAACTCATGTCCTAGAAAATAACAGTATTGCAAAACAAATTATTTTTTTAATTATTATTTTAGTTTCTAATTATTATTTTAGCTTTCGAATTTTACTGTTTTGTTCTTTCCCATTTCTATAACCATATCTGTCCTAGAAATCTAATAAAATTACTAAATAAATTATTTTCTCACACAGACAAAACAGATGCTGAAGCAAATCCCCTTTTATTTCATTTATTTTTGTTTCCTTCTTCCTGTTTATGATTACATAAGTCTTAGAAAATTAACAAATCTGGATTTCAGAAACATCTTCCAGTGTAGGCCTATTTCCTATAATTCTAACAAAATCGGAGATTAAATGATTTTCGAATACAGATTTTTAAATTTTAAATTTTTCTTCTATTCATCTTATATTTTTTAGACATGTGAAACCATGTCCTAGAAAACAAACAAATCAGATGACAAATCCTTTTCAATTGCGGGATCCAATGTTGTTTCAAATTTTATTATTTTCACCTTCCCATTTAATAATTATATATCTTTTAGAAAACTAACAAAATCGAAGAACAAATACAGGTTTTGTTCTTCGATATGGTTTCAGATATGGTTATAGAAATGGGATATTGCTTCAAATTTTACTATTTTCTTATTCCTGTTTAATGTTTATACATGTTCTACATACATAACATGAAAAGAAAAAGGAATTTTTTTAGACACAAGTTTGCTTGCTGTTTTAGATAATTCAAATTTTGCGATATTCTGCTTCTCATTTTAAGATTAGAGATATTCTAATAATCAAATGAAAGAGAACAGAAAATCATTTTCGATTGCCGGCTCCAGTGATGTTTCAGCTATTCAAATTTTGCTGTTTTATTCTTTTTGTTTTATAATTACACAAGTACCAGAAAACGAATAAAATGGAATAAAAAATAATTTTCGAATTCAGGTTCCAATGCTGTTTCAGTTTTTCAAAATTAATACTTTCGTTTCCCTGTTTTATGATTATACGTGTCCTGAAAAGAAAACAGAATGATGAAGCAAATTATATTTAATGTCAGATTTTAATGGCGTTTCAACTATTCGATTATTTTTATTTTCCTTTTTCCGTTTTATCATTACAAATGTTCTAAAAAACAATAAAATGAAACAAAAAACCTTTTCAATTGCAGATGACAATGCTGTTCTAGATTTGAAAATTTTACTATTTTCTTCTTTCTATTTTATGATTACGCATGTCGTAGAACACACAGAAGAAATCGTAGATCAGTTTCAAATACACAGATCAGTTTCGAAAACCGGTTACGCCCACCAGCGGCCGAGCGGTAAAGTCGCTGAACACTGGTAGTTCGGTCCGAGGTTCGAATCCCGCGAACGGGCTGGCTGCATGGGCGTTTTCGTGGTTTTCCCCATGTGTGACGTGTATACGAGCCAGTTTCCCTTAGAAAGTCCTCCACGAAGGCATCCTCCTCTTAGGCAGATAGCCCTCGAGACTTTGCCATACTCACACACACACGAATACCGGTTCCAATACACTTTTAGCTTTTCAAATGTTACAGTTTTCTTCTTCGAATTCAATAAATTTACATGTCCTATAGTTATAAAAAGCAGAAGAAAAATAATTTTTGAATTTCTATTGTTGTTTTACTATATTATTCAGTATATTTTTTCCCATTTTAGGGTTATAAATGTCCTAATAAACAAACAAAAGGAATATGGAAAGGAAAAGGAGCTCATTTTCAACTGCATATTCCCAATGCTGTTTCAGCTGTTCAAATTTTGCTATTTTATTCTTTCCGTTTTGTGATTACACATGTTCTAGAAAATAAATAAAATGAAGATGAAAATCATGTTACATTGCAGGTTCAAATGTTGTTTCAGCTTTTTTCATTTTAGGATTATGCACGTCCTAAAAAAATATAAAAAACTGAAGAAAATATTATTTTCACTTGGAACTGCCACTATTGTTTCAGATTTAAAAATTTTACTGTTTTCTCTTATAAATGTCCTAAAAAGTAAATAAAATGGAAGAACAAATGTTTTTCATTTTCAGTTTCTAGTATTATTTTACAGTTCCAAATTTTACTATTTCTGTCTTTCCAGTTTATGATTACACATGTTCATAGCAAATAAAATGGAAGAACAAACCTAGCAGCCGAGGGGTAAAATAGGCGCTTTCGTGTTTCCCCCATGTGTAACGTGTATTCCAGCCAGTTTCCCTTATAAATTCCTCCACGAAGACATCCCTCATCTTAGACAGATAGTCCTTGCGTGCTGTGCCATAATTAAGTAAATCAAACTGTTATTTAAACAAGATCAAATCATATTCAGTTTCAAGTTTTAATGTTGTTTAAGCTCTTCGAATTTTTTACTCTTGTGTTCCTGTTTTAGTGTATCATTACATGTGTTTCAAGTTAAGAATACACACGTAACTTAAAAACAAAGAAAATGGGGAGAAAACATTTTCAGTTAGAGGTTCTAATACTGCGCCAGCTTTTGAAATTTTACTATTCTCGTTCCTTTGTTAGTGTATAATCATAATTCGTGTTTCCTGCTATGGTTACATCTAAAACATTGAGAGACAAAATATTTTCGGATTTAAATCCCAATGTTGCTACAACTGTTCGAATTTTACAATTTTCTTCTTCCCATTTTATGGTTGCAGATATCCTAATGAACAAATGAAACAAACAACAACAAAAAAAAAAAAAAAAAAAAAAACGTAATTTTCATGTGCAGTTCGAATCTTGTTTTAGTTTTTCAAATTTAATATATTGTTCTTTCGTTTTATTATTATATATACCCTAAAAAGCAAATACAGTAACAGATAGAACAATTCATTTCCATTTGCAGGTTCTATCCTGTTTCAGCTTTTCAGATTTAACATTTTGTTTC